TTCCCAACTCCACCAGATCCCTCAGCGCTGGCTCAGCCCGACTCTTCAACCCCTCCAGGGATGGGGACTCCCCCCCTGCCCTGGGCAGCCCATTCCAACGCCCAACAGCCCCTTCTGCAAAGAAATAATAATATCCAGGAATATCTGGATATTCCTAATATCCTGAAAAGATCCATCATTGGCAAGAAAGCAACATCTCCGTGCAAGTGAAATGCCAGATAAGCCCAACGCCGACACAGCAGCCATCATTTCTAGGATGAAAGTCCCATTAACGCCAGGGCATGGGCAACTCCTGCTGTTTACAGGTATTTCCCCACATCACCCACTCAGCAGCAAGGGGAGAAACAGAGACCTTCCAAGTTCATTTGGAGATCCACCATGGTTTCCCATCCCTGAACACATATAGCACACAGCCAGGGCAGTAAGGTTGTTTTAGAACAACTCTGGTACAAAAGGCTGAGGAAACATGAAAAGAAAAGCACTGTTCTCCTGCAGTAAGCACCAAGCGTGACCCCCAGGGCCAGCAGAAAGCACATCATCCTACCGAGCACGGGCGGGCAGATTGCAGGGGCAGCATGGCTCGTGCTGGCTGGAGGGTGCACGAGGACCTCCCGTCGGGGGGAGCAGAGGAGTTGGTAAAATAGTATTTTCCCAGGTAACTGTGAGACTCCGAGGGAGGAAAGCAAAAATACAGAGCTGAGCTGCAGCCACGTCTGAGAGAGGCATTTTAGAGAGGCAACCTGTCCCAGCCAGGCTGGGACTGAGCATCAGCTCCCGCTTCCAAGGCAGTGGGCACAACCTCCCCCAGCACCATCCAGCCCTCCCCAGCTGCCTGCTCCACACTTTCATGGGCTTTATTTCTCCAGGCTCACAGGCTTTTTTTCATGGGCACTCATTCACTTTTAACCCTTGACCACCCCTGAAAGAATCCCAGATGTAGAAAAAAAGCCACCTCCTCTGGGAAGCAAGAGGAGCCCTTCCTGGTCTCCAACATCTGTCCATAAGGCCGTTTCACACCTCTGATCCCTTTGGAGCACTGTGCATCCTCGGGGAGGACTTAAACTCCTTGTCCACCAGGAACAAGGTCAGGATCCGTCAGCGGCTGCAGCCTCCACGGGGTGCGGAGGAGGGAGCAGTGCCAGGGCAAACAATGGGCGCTTTGTCAGCCTGGGCAAGGGAGACACAACAGAGCAATAAAAGTTACACGAGAAGCTGGTGGGATGGTTCAAACGGATCAGCCTGTTTGTCCTTTGCTTCCCAGAGGCCCCTGCAAGAAATTCTGGCATTGCCACTTCAAATTAGTGCTTAGCTTGAGGAAAACTCGCTTCAAACCTCCAAGAAAGCTTTCCTACTGGTTAGAGCTCTCTTAATTCCCAGTTTGAGTTTCCCTAATAAAACCCAGATTGCTCAACTTCTATAACACTGGTCTATGAGCTCAGGCAGCAGTTAACCCTTTGCAGCCCCAAACAAGGAATAAATAACCTCCTCCTGTTTTATTTGCCTTCAGTGACTTTTTCAGGCTAAGCTGCACACTAGGGAAGGGGAGCAAATACTCAAAGCCTGCAGGACTGCAGTATCTATCCTCATCCAAAATCCAATACCCCTGCAATACAGCACACACTCATTTCTTGCTTGTGCAAACTGCACAAGCACAGGGCTGTGAGGAATAAGAGCAAGGAATTCCGATTCATCTTTCATATGGTGTAACAACAGGCTACCATACAGCACATCCACAGCTGATTAGAACAACACACAACCTCCCTAATTACTGCAATGAGAAGGGATGGAATAGGAAGCTCTACAAAGTCCCATGAATATGCACAGCACCTGTTTGGGACTGAACCTCAGTGACCAAACAGGAAAGCCAGGCAATATTTTTCATCCACAAAATCCTTCACCAGAAATGGACTTTCAGAACAATTAGCAGTGCTATCAACACTTTCTCTCTGTGTGTGTGTATAAATATTCATGAGCACATTTACAAGTATGGTTATGTCACGCAAGCATGTCTGTGCAATCAACTCTTTAACTTTTTGCTTCCCAAAACCATCTTTTACAGAAAACCTATTAAATTCATTTTCAAAGACAAAACATAATACAGATTTCCACTAAGAGGCAGAACAAGCCAGAAGTGTACCAACAACCCACCCAGTGCCTAACATGAAAGCACACCTGTTTGTGGCAGGGAAGGGATGCAGCCAGCATCACGTCCCCACATCTCTGACCTCCTACCGCACCTTCCAGAGGAGCTGCCAGGAATAGCTCTTGGCTCAAGAAACTTAACTCTGGCCACAGCAGAGGTGGCTAGTGCTGAGAGAGCAGTATCAAGGGCTGCCCCAGAGCTCTCAAAGCACTAATGGCCGTAAGTGTCTTCAAAACCTCTATAGAAACAGAGGCTCCTCAGCGCTTTCCGGGTTTCCCTCCAGTCTCCTTCCACTGCTGGTTGGACCAATGCAGTAGGCTTGACCTGAGAGGAGGCTCCAGCTGGCAACTCAGCATGAGGGAAGGAGACTCCTCACCCTCCCACACCACCCAGCTCTACCAGGGAAGAGCCACCACCATCACCACTCCACAGGAAGCTCGGGCAGGCCATTTCCTGAGGCCAGAGTGACAAATCCCAGTCCCCCAGGGCTCAGTTTTGGGGCCACTCCTGTTTTAACATCTTTATTGATGATCTAGACAAGGGGATCGAGTGCACCCTCAGTCAGTTTCCAGGTGACACCAAGTTGGGTGG